AAATGCCTAGCGTTAATTAATCATTCATTCGTAATACAATTTAAATATGATAGTGTTATCAATGATATCACTCGATTATGACTTTTTTATTCTCACTTTAGGATAAAGCAAAACATCGGTTGTGGTCCCCTTCTAAGAGAAAAAAAAAATCTCAGTTTCATGGCATCATGAATAATATCATTATGTTTAAATATATGGTAAAATTTGCAAATAGTCACCCAACTTTAGGGATTGTGGTAAAATGATCACTTAAGTATTAATTTTTTTTACTTTAATCACTTTAATTTAAGTAAATTTTTTGGTTAGTCAATCGTTAATGTCTAATGGCTTGTTGACATGGTATTGTTACATCAGTTGTTAAATGTCACTGTTAATGTACATTTATAAATTTTGAAAAATAAATAAATTTCAATAATTTAACTTTTTAAGAATTTCTATTTTGGTCACTCAATTTTGAAATTTTACAATTTGGTCACTAATAAATAAGTTCTCAAATTTTATAAAAAAATACAAAAAACATTTAATATTTTTATTGCATGAAATTAAATTATAAAATTTGTAATTATACTATTTAAATTTGAAAAATGGATGAATATCATCCAAATGCCTAAATTACTAAAATAACATTATTTCAAATTTTTATGATTCAGTCCATCTAAATAAATTCAAGTATTTTATATTTCATAATATCAAAATTTTAATTATAATAAAAGTTCATAAGTTAAATTTCATGTAATAAAAAATTAAAAGAAATATAGATAACATAAGTTTATTGTAATTAGAACCTTAATATTATAAAATATGAAATTTATTAATATTTTGGACACTAATATTTGTAAAATTTTTAATATTTTGCTCTCCATTGTCAATAACTCATTGTCACCATGAATTTATAATGAGTCGATCACCAATGTTTATGAAATTTAATATAATAAATTATTTTATTATTTATGTTACCTGTTGAAATATATTGGGATAATACTCAAATAGTAATTGAATTTTATTAAAAATAAAAACAAAAATTCAATATTTTTATTGCATGAAATTAAACTATGAACTTTTATATTTTTATAATTATAGTATTTAAATTTAAAAAATAGATGAATATTAATCAATTGCCAAAATTACTAAAATATTATTACTTCAAATATTTATCATTAAGTTAACCTAAATAAATTCTAGTATTTGTTTTAAATTTTTACATTTTGGTCTCTAATGTTTGTAAAATTATTAATATTTAGATGTCATTCTCAACTTTTATAAAGGTTTGTGAATTTTAATATAATAAATTATTTTATTTTATTTTTTATCTATATTTTCTTTAATATTTTATTACATGAAATTAAAACTAAATGTTGATATTATAAAATATGAAATGATTGAGTTTGTTTGCATGAGTTAAATAACAAAGACTTGAAATAACATTATTTTAGTAAGTTTTGCAAGTGGATAATATTCATCTTTTTTTCTTCAAATTTAAATGATATAATTATAATAAAATTAAATTTATAATTTAATTTCATGCAATAAAAAAATAAAAAATGTATTTTTATTTTTTATAAAATTGGAGGATTTATTTGTCAGAGATCAAATTGTAAATTTTTAAAGTTGAAAGACCAAATTAGAAATTTTTTAAAAAATTAAGTAATTGAAATTTATTTTTGTTTCAAAATTTACAAATGCCATGTGAGTATTACCACATAGTTTTGGCACCTGACAACTAATGTAGCATTGCCACATTAGCATATTGTTAGACATTAAAAAGTGAGTGGCCAAAAAAATATATTTACTCAAACTTAAGTGAGTAAATTGAAAAAATTAGGTTAAATTATGCCAAAAGTGCTTATACTTTATGAAACATTGAAATTTAATCTTTATACTATAATTTATACAAATTTAGTTTCTTTATTATTTTAATTTAATGATCTTAGTTGAATCACTAACTCCATCATTTTATTGCTTTTAAAAATGTTGATGTGAGTATTGACCTTACTAATGTGGCGTTCATTTTGCTAATATGACGTTGACTTGTTGGCTAACAATTAGGATGGATCAAATTAGTTATTAAATTATACAAATGGTTATTGCACTCATACGAAATTAAAATTTAGTTCATGTACTCGCTTGAAATTTGAAATTTAATTTATGTATTCGCACAAAATTTGAAATTTAATCCTTTTAATATAAACAATTTTCTAGTTTTTCAAAAATATTAAATTTTTAAAATTGCCACATAATATTCTGTCATAATATTGAAAAATTTATCATAATATTCTATCACAATTTTTATAAATTGTCACTAAATCTATCATAATTTTTGTCGCCTATGTGAAATACTGTTACTAATTCTGTCACTATTTCTTATTACATTCCATCATAAAATATAAATTTGTTACTAATTTTATCACACTTTTTTGTCACAATTGTAGTATATTATGAAAATATGGAAAAAAAAAAATCTTACACAAATTTGTTAAAAATTTATCATAAAATTTTTATTATTTTATACAAATCTGTCACTATCTAATTTTAATAAAAGTATTATTTTTGTTAATTTATTAAATGAAGTATAATTATAATTACATCCCATAATGGTAAAATTATCCATCAAACAATATTTCTATTCTTTTAAATTAAACCATATTCAAATAATTTTTATAATGAAATCTAGGTTAAAGATTCTAAATACATTAAAGTAATCTACTAAACTCAATGTGTATTGGTTTTAGAATTAACCTTAGTATTTAATTTAACACAAATTTTTAAATAAGTTTTTTTTTTTTTTGAAGAGTGAAGACCCACAAAACTTATTGTTCTCATTATGATACACAATATCGATATTTTGGTTTACAAAAAAATCATTTTCTCCTTTCATTTTGTTAGGATTTAAAGTTCGTTCTTCAAATGGATAAAAAGCTCGTCCTTTGTAAGCATTTAGATTTGAATATCTTATTTTATTTGGTTGAATAGAATGATCATTTCATTCATGATTTATTTCAAATTCATTCCCACTGCATTATAAATTTAGATTTGAATATCTTATTTTGTTTGGTTGAATGGATAAAAGCCTGGTTCATTATAAATTTTATGATATGATATACTTAAACTAATTAAAATGATATTAATTTTGATATATTAATTTAAATTATTATTGTTTAATTGATTAATATAAATGATAATAATATTACTACTAATAATTAATTATGTATAATAAAATAATATATTTCTAAAAATATTTTTTATATTAAAGAGATTAAAATATTTTTAAAGTTTAATATTTTGAAAAAATAAAAAAATTTAAAATATTTTTTATATTCATGGACTAAATTTCAAATTTTGTAAAACTATAAGCACTAAATTTTAAATTTTGTGTAAGTATAGGAACCATTTACGTCATTTGATAACTGATTTCATCTATTTAAGTTGTCACGTTAATAAAGTCAACACCCACATCATCAAATCAACAATTACGTCAACATTTTTAATGGTAAAAAATTAATGGAGTTAGTAATTGAAGTAATAATATCAAATTAAAATGGTATGATGATTAAATTTGTAAAGTTATAGTACGAAGATTAAATTCTAAAATTTCATAAATTATAAGAACTTTCAACATAATATGATTTTAATGTGATGCATAGGCAATGAAATGAATTGACAAGGGCTTTTCAAATTAGCATAATGTTATAGTACATTAAAGATTCGTTTGTTTCACAGAAATTGATTTTCTAAAAATGATTTTTCCTTTTTTAGTATTTTTTTGATAAAAAATTAATTGGCCAATGAAAAATAACGTATTGCAACAAAAACTAAGATCATTTTCAGAAAATTACCTTTATCTTTTGAAAAGGTAAATAAGGCAGTATTTTGAAAAAGTGATGTTTATGAGTAGGATTATTTTCCAAGCTTATGAATATAGTTGTACTCAACTGGACTTTGGATATGAATTTTTAAGCTCGAACTTTATTTTACTCTATCCAAAATGTTATTATAATAATAAAAATATTTTATTTAATTTTAAACATATTAATATTGAAAATTTTCTAATATTTTAATTTTAAATATTTTTATTATTCTACTCATGTCGAACTTAAACATGATTTTTTAAGTTAATGTTTAATTTAATCCGACTAGAAAAATTATTATGTTAATAAAAAATATTTTTATTAATTTTAATTAAAAAATAAATATTAAAAGTCTGCTGATATTTTAATTTTAAATGTTTCTATTTTGTACATCATTATACATATATATTTTAAATATTTTGATAATAAATAGAATTATATTATTATCATTATTTTAATAAATAATAATATAGTAAATAGTAGTTTTCTTACTTTAACACATAATATTGTTTATTATAATAATATTATTATTTTATAATATGAATATTTTAAATAATTTTTCAATTTACAATATGTTATTTTTATATTTTATTTACAAATTTATTTATATTACTCTTTTAATAACAAATATAAAGAAGTAATTTATTTGTTATTATTTAATAATAAATAGTTTCAATATAAAATATAACTATTTTAATATTATAAATATTACTATTTTTCATATTATTATAGTAATAGGAATAATATTTTAGATATTTTAAAATATTTTTTGATCCATTAAATATCTTAAAATATTAATGTAAATAATAAATTGTTTTATTTTAAGTGTTTAATTTTAATATAATATTTTGACATTTATTATTGTTAAAAATAACTATTTTATTATTGATAATTTTAATGTTTTAATAATAAATAGTTTTTAATATTTTAATGATTATTTTAATATTATTTGAAAAATTAAACAGTTTTTTCGAAAAAAACTAAATAACAAAAAAATATTTTTGATTGATTCATATAAACAATAAATTTTTTTATTTTTGCAAAAAAATAAAAATTTATTTTAAAAAAATTCCTGAATGCCAATTTTGAAGAAACATCCTAAAATTTTAAGGTGTTGGAAAAACGTTGCAGTCTACAAGCCATTTCATTGCATTTGCATTCCGTTTGACGTTGCTTGACTGGAGGTTAACTTATGAAGGACCCACCATACTGCCATATTAATTGGAATTTAAGGAGATCTGTTCCCATCCATACGAATTAATCCACGCGGGACCCTTGAAAATAGCAAAAAAATACAATCAAGACAAAAGGTCATACAATACATATATAACTCGATCATGTCACGTCCACTGTTTATAAAAATACAGATACAGTAATTCATATTAACTGGCTGTAATTGTAAATGGCGTCCTCACACACCAAGGTTTTGGTGTGCAGTGAATATCCATAGTGAAACTCCAAAAGCCAACTCTACTCCTATCCACCTCTTTCCCTTTCCTCCATCACTCTTCTCTGCCGCACTGCTAGTGGAGTTCCCTACATGTGAGGAAAAAAAATTAACAACTGATTTATGGAGAAAATTTTGACATCATGTGTATATATGTTACCACTAGCTGCTGGGGTACTGCCATGTCTCTCTGTCAGCTTTTGATATCCTTCAAATAACTTTGCTTCCTGGGAGTTGGGTGCCAAGTGCAGAAGGGCTGAATTCACAGCCAAAATGGAAGGCAACCAAAATCAGAAAAACACTCATAGAAGGAAAAATCGAACTGTGAATATTATGTAGTCATATGTTTAACTTACAGATGCAATCTGTCATGTTAACAGCGGCACGACAAGTGCTAGGAAGGGTAGCTGCAAGAGTAGCATTGATATTGAGGCCAAGCCTGGGGTCATCTCTATCTTTAATCAAGACACACAGGCATTTCTTGCTCTTATCCAGCACCTGTTTGAGCCCACTGCAACAATCGATGGTAGGTGTTTTTGCCTCTCCACCAACATATGGCAGACATGGAGCAAGCCCAACTAGCTGATTAGCACATTCTGTTTTGTCCTGATTGATATCAGAGGTTGCAAAACCAAGCAGAATCAGAAGCAAGATGCGTAAGAGTGGCAAACTTCCATTTTTGGATTCCATGATTATTTGCGGTGGGAAGAAGGGAAAGTAAAAGTAAAGGGGGAAAAAGGAAAGAAAAAGAAAGATGGAAGCAAAGAGACTGTTTCAAGGCATTTTATATGAAGACTAACGAGAATGAGAATTGGGAAAGCGATCATTAGTACGTACGTCAAAGTGGGAAGTTATTGTAATACGTATCAATCGAGTATAAAGTTCCACAAGGGTGTTCAGTCTTTGTACATGTGATGCGGATTATTTGTTTAAAGTGAGCAAGCAGCTAGCTTTCTGCTCTCATAATAAGCCCCATAATATTAATACTCATAATAACTAGCTAGTCTGTTATATGCTCTCCCATCTCGTTTTCTAATTTGTTTTATTATTTTTCCCAATATCTCAAAACTACATCTTATTTTTAACTCTTCATATTCATTTAAACTCTACATCTTAAAATAATTATCTCAAAACTACATCTTATTTTCATATTTCTACCCAAACATGTTAGGAGTCGTCTGGTCCGGGAAAAATAAGATTCCTGATCGAAATTTTATTTTTTATAATTTAATTTATTAGTTTGATTCACAAAATATAATTTTTGAGATTTTCTAAGATTCTTAAAAGTATTAAAAAGGAAAAAGTAAAAGAATAAAAGATTCTCATCTTCTCGAGGTGTTTTTAGATTCCGAAAAAAAAGTGAAAAATTTTTCCATTTACTTTCACTTAATTGTGTTTTTAAATTATATAAACAAAGTTATTTACTTTAGACACGTAATAACTTTTTTATAAAATATTAGGAAAATAAATTTGTTATCATATGTTTTAAACATAAATCTCATTTTTTAGATTAAATACATGGTCTTTGTTATATTTTCAACAAATACCTTGTTTTTAAGATTAAAGATGTGATCTTTGTTGAAAATATGTTATGAAAAAAAATTATTTGTATTTTATATTTTGCTTGTTGATATATTATGAGAAATTTTTATTTTTTAAATTTTCATAATTTTAACAAAAATTACGTTTTTATGTAAAAGACAATCTTTTTAATATTTTAAACAAAAAAACAGTGCTATTGAAATCTCTGAAATTAAAAATATAATCTTTGTTGAAAATATGAAAAAAATATTTTTCAGAATTCAACAAAACATAATGTTTTTAAGATAAAAACGAGATCCTTGAAAAAAAATATGAAAAAATATTTTTAGAAATCAATAAAAATGATGTTTTTAAGATAAAAAATACAATTTTTGTTGAAAATATGAAAAAAAAAAAAAAGAATTCGAAATTAAATAAAAATGATATTTTTAAGATTAAAAATGTTGTTTTTGTTGAAAATATAAATAAATTATTTTTTAAAATTCTTTAATATATTTTGGGAAATATGTAGTTGAAAATAAGATAACGTATTATTCACATATCATGTGTTTTTTATATATTATGTGTTATAAATGACATGTTATTCACGTGTCATCAATGATAGTATAAATTTTATAATGTAATCTTATATTTCTTTAAATAGAACACAAAAATCTTATATTTCTTAAATTAATAAAATCTAAAAATCACACTTTTTTCTTTAATATAACTTTTTTCTCAATTTTTTTTCTAAAATCTAAGTTTACGCGAACCAAATTACCCATTTATTGTTATTTTTTACTTGAGTTTTTTTTTTTTTTAGCATTTTTTGTGAAAGAAATTAGCTCTATTTTATTAAGCTAGATTGAAGTATAAAGGATAATGATATTCTTTTGTTGGAGCATTGTTTGTGCCAAGCTTCGATCTTAGAGTGTTCTAAAAAGACAAAAGACAAGGATGGTTAGAGACAAAGGCAGAGAGTATTCCATGCATTTGCCTTCAACACGCAAGTTAGAATAAATAAGGTTGGAAGAAGAGTAATGAGAAGAAATAATAGTAGATTGGACTTGTCTTAATGTTTGCATGGACCTTTATATTTATAGATAAATAATGAGAGACCTTTATATTTATAGATAAATAATGAGGGACCATTAGGGGACAATAAGAATAGTATCGAGTTGATGTGGCACTAGGTGTGTCAAATCGACTTGACATGTTAGGTCAGCATAAATGTTAGAATTATCCTTGATTGTTTGCTGAAGGTTTCTAATAGGAAAAAAGACTACTATACCCTTTTGACCACTAAATGCCCTCAACATTTTATCCTTCTATCAAATAGCTGTTGGATGTATGATCGACATACCTAATATAAAATAAGTAGGCAAAAAAGAATGACATGAAATTTGATTATTTGAAACTGATGTCATAAAAGGGGTCGGTATTATGGGACAATTAGCCTTGAACCGTGGTCCAACTTTATGTAGGTCTAATCTTGTGCGTATATCTTAGGTTGAGTGCATAGTTAGCTTGGAGGTCATTGACATGCTAATTGTTCAGGATGACTTGAGATTAGTGTTAGAGTTTGTCTGGTCAACATGGAACTTGTGTTTTATTTCAAGAGTTTGGATTTGAGTGCTTACTTTAGACTCTAATGATGAGCTAGGCATTCAGTTTAACTTGAAGAGATGTTTGGTTTAGTCGGTCTGACTTGGGATTTATCCAGTTCGATTGATTTGATGACATTAAATAAAGAAAAAAGTAGTTTGAGTGAAAAAAATTTAAAGAGGGAAGATTAAAAGATGTCTTCCCATCTTCACTCTAACATGTGACATAGTCTATGCCGTTCATTTGATCTATGACGCGGTTATATAAAGGGCAGTAGAGGTTTTTATTATTTACTTTATGCTTTATTTACTCTCACTTCAATATATTTTTTTTATCTTAAAGGTTTTCGACCTTAAAGTTATTATTTTCTCTATTTTTTTTAGTACGTACTCTCAATTGTCTTTTAGTTTAAGTTTTGGGAAGGTTGAGAGTTTTAGGGTAGAACTTAGGGGAGGTTAGCTTGGGTAGGATGATGACGACCTGATTTTGCCAGTCATTAGAGGTCATGGTTATCGGATGATGGCCTTTTGGTTCAATCTAATATTTAAAAAAGGGTAGTTGCAAAACGTGGACAATGTTTGGGCAAGAGGAAAATTGGTCTTGAGCACAAAGAAACTATGTACTCAGATAGATTCCACTTTTTTTCCCTCTCTTTTAGGTCAGTTTATCTTTTATGGTCGACTTTTTTTCATTTTTCATTGTTTCTCTTTTCGGGGTTTAGTTTCATTAATTTTTTTTTACTTCTATTTTCCCGCCAATTGTTACTTCTGTTGTCACTTCTATTTCATCTTAACTAATTCTTGTTGAGATTACTTCTTATTCTAAAATGTTTCCACCTCATATTTTTTCCTCTAGAGTTGAGTTGCTTTTAGCCATGGTTCAACCTTAAAATCCTACTCTTGCTTATAAGTTAGAGTCTTTTAGCAGTGAAGACTCTGATGATGAGGAGGGTTCCGAGGAAAAATAAGAGAAAATGAGCACCTTGGTTGGGAAAAGTGATGATGAAGAAAAAGACCTTGTGGAATAGGATTATCTAACCAAGATTCCTCTATATACTCTTTGTAACCTTAATATGATCTCCAAAAACATGATGAGGGAACTAAAACGTATGGCTAATCTTAAAAATTGTCCTAATATTTGTTCAGCTCATTAAGTCCGCGCTCTAGAGGTAACCTTTTTTTTTCCCCAAAAAGGGATATAGTATATTAATGCCAAACTTCTTAAATTTAATCACTAATAAACTATAGCCACATCGACTGTATGAATTTTGGGATTCATTTATGGCCGTTTAAGGTTCTCATTTTATTATTTGCTTGTTTCAATTTTTAATTCTTATAATTCAACTATCACTCAACTCACTCCTAACTCTATTGGTACATAGTAGATTTTATTATTCTTTATCAACATCTAAACATTCTTTCCACTTTCCCTTTATTTTGAGAATTTTTTTCCTTAAAAAACACCCCAATGATTATAGGTGGTACTACATAATAGCTTGGCCTAATAAAAAATTATTTATCGATTGCTCGAGCTCAATAAAAAATAAAAAAATATTTTTCCTCTAAAAACAAAAAATAAATAAAAATAGTGGGTTGGAGGTTAGGACCACTACTGAGGTTGAGGCGTGGGAGATAATAAATGGGCTCGATGTCTTTATAGATACACTAGTGGCTCTTTTCATCTTAGATCTATTAGATTAGGATAAAATATTGGAGTATACCTGTAAGGAGAGCTCATTATTAATGGCCATGAGCTGACCTCCTCAAAAGTAATAAATGGGATAAAATACTAGGGTAAGTATAAGGCAACCTCGTAAGATTTTATTTTAACTTTGTTTTTATCTAATTTTTAGCTTGATCTTGTAAAGATGTCTACTAATGAAAACTTTGACTTTGTTATATACCAACATACACCTAGGCCTAAAAAGGCCATAAAAAAATTTAGCTCAGGGTCCCATCTCACAGAAGGGACAAAGTCATCAACCTGTCAATTTAGTACTTACCAACAGTTTAAAAGATAAAGTCTGGGGCTGGCCGATATCTCTTCTTAGCATAAGCACTTTTTTTTAAAAAAAAAAAATCAATAGTGGATGTCTTCTCTTCCACCTTAGAGAATCTAAAGCCAAGGTGTTAAAGCCTAGTTAGGAGAAATCTCTACAAGATTAGAGCTCATTCTCACTAATGACCCCACCATGAATCTCAATGTGACAAAGAGGTTCTGTAAGGTCACGATTCCTCATCTTGATAAGCACTATTTGACTTTAACTTAATTTTTTATTATTTTTTATTTTACTAAATCTGAGTTTATCCCATGCAGTCTAATAAAAATTCTCACCTTAGCCTCTGGATAACATTAGCCAGGTCTTCTACCATGCCTACCTTACTATGGCTCATTTTTTTAAGGTTGAGAAAGATGTAACTATCCTAATCAAAAAGCACAAAAAGAGTTTGGATGCTTTGGGCAATGTTAGGTCTAGCCTTAATGCATTCTATAATAAGGAGGCCAAGTAGAGAAAAATAACTACCTGACAACAAAGTTAAAGGTCGTCTTAGTTGAGAAAGCTTCGATTAATTTTATGAAAGAGCAAACTGAGTTTAAGCTTAATGATGCCCAGTTTGAAATAATGAGGTTGAAGTTGAGTTGAAGGTCAAAAAGAGAGAAAAAAGATCTAAAGAAAA